TCAGCATTGTTTCATAACTTTTGGCAGCCGGGACGTTGCCTTCTAGAGGGAGGGGATAGTGTTACGGACTCAGCCAGGGCTCGATCCCTGGACTGCGAGTTACCACCCGCCAGGCTGCAATTTTATTCTGAGTTCCCGATCTCCGGTTCTTGACTGCTGGCGCCCTCTGCAGTCGGCGCCCGTTCTCGAATTCCTCCACTGGCACTTTCAGATTTCAATACTTGGTGCCATCCGCCATTCTAGCGCTCAGACGCAGACCTGCGATCCTCAGTTCAGTCCTGAGGCAGCCCGCACCTCGGCCCTCCGGACTAAGCCTGAGTCCGATACTTTCCGGACTCAAGCCCCGTTGGGGCATTCAGTCTTCGACCTTAGTGCTTGTGCTTCAATGTGACTTGCCGCGACTTTGTGTTTGGAATCCAAGATTGCGACTTTGCGACTCTGAGACTTTGTCACTTCGTGTCTGCGTCCGTCGTGTCGAGTCGAGTCCGTGTTCGAGTCGAGTGAGTGTGTGTGTGTGCTTTCACTCTCTCCCTCTCTCCCTCTCTCTCCCTCGACCTCTCTGCTCGGCCTCAGTCTTGTCACAAGTTTCCTGCGCTTGCCCGGCTGCTTGCAGCCCGTTGCTGCCCATTGTTGTCGCGCGTTGCTGCCCGTTGCCGCTGCCCACCATGTTGCACGCTGCGCTGCTATCGCTGTCGCGCGCCGTTGAGTTGCCTGCCGTCGTGTTATTGGGCCGTGCGACAAAGAGGAAGATTGTCGCCGATAGATCGAAGAGAGAGCTGCTGCGCCGATCGTAGAAGAAGCCACCATGCCGATTAGAGAAGGGAGACTGCCATCGCTGTGGGGGTAGAAGATTGTCGCGCCACGTATAAGAAGACGGGGAAAGAAGGAGAAGAAGACGACGAAGGAAGAGAGAGAGAGAGAGAGAGAGAGAGAGAGAGAGAGAGAGAGAGAGAGAGAGAGAGAGAGAGAGAGAGAGAGAGAGAGAGAGAGACAAGATTGGTTGTGCAGCAAAGAGAAAGGTGGCAGCCATAGCCGCTGAGCTCGGACCTAACAAAGAAGAAGGAGGCTGGAGGTGACAAAGACGAAGGGAGAGAAGAAGGAGATACGAGGGAGAAAGTAAGGAGCCATAGCTAAGGGGGGCGAGAAGAAGAAAGAAAGGGGGAAGAAGACGAGAGGGTTTGACGAGCGAGAAAGGTCGGCAACCATAGTCAGAGGTCAAAGAGTTGACAAAGTTTGATCAAAAGTTGAACCAGGCGTTGACCAGCGTTGACCAGTGGCGTTGACAAAGACTTTAACCAAGCTGGAGTTGGAATACTCTCGCCAATCCTTAAGCCTTCCCCCTCGCCCTGTGTATTGCACATACCTTGGTACTTGCTGAGTCAATTTGTCTCTTCTTTCTGCATTGAGTCACTTCCGTCCAGATTGATAGGACTCTGTGCATGTGGTCGTAGAGCGGTGACCAAACCTGCACGGGCTGAGTAGGGCTAAAGGCCATGTCTGACGACTGACAAGTCCCGAGGACAAGACCCCCAAGGAGCGGTACAGCCGAGTGGGCTGCTCAGTGTGGCATGGTAGGCCTGAAATCCGAGTTGTAGGCTGCGCATCCAGCTGTCTTACGTTTTGAGAGGACTCCGCTGATCACGTCGTCCTTATTGCGACATTAAAGAATTCCTGAGGAGTTATGGGGCATCTCCTTAAATGCCTCCTGATCTGCGGTAGAGTCCTATAGTGACACCCATAGAGTAGGTTAGGCTAGTGACCACAGTTGACAGGGTCTGATCGAGAGTGAAAGCCAGGTGGGACTGATCGCTGGTGCAAGGTGCACTGGGATCTTGAAAGTTTCGGTGACAGTGGTGGCGAAAGCCTCCGTCGGGTGTGGTAACTTGGCTGGAACGAAGGGGAAGACTTTGTGGTCCTTTAGAGACTCAGTCAGTTAGTCAGTCTATGGATAAGTCTAAGTGGTGAGGAGTGGAACTATCACTTGGTTATGAACCCAACACCATGGATAACTATCCCATGTATTCCTTGCTCGTTGGGTTCTCCTTGTGGGGTACCCTTTGGCGGCTTCTTTTCCCATTAGGATTTTGGCACAGCTCGTGCAGAGTGACGACGAGGAGTGGTACAGGGAGGAGGAATGTGGCGGACCCACCAGGTGTGGTGCTCCGCCTGAGACAGAGATGGAGATGGAGGAAGAAGGGGGAGCGAGACGGCAACTCCGATGCCAGACTCCAACGCACGTACTCCAAACTGTGCGAATGCAGAATGAATCGGAAAACAGACAACAACTGGGGTATACCACAGCGGACTGAAGGGACTGAACTGGATTGGCTGGTTCCGACAGAGGTACCGGCTTGGACTGGACTGCCCTGAATACAACACAGGCCTGTGAGAACAGGCCAGGGGGCTGGTCTCACAGGCCAACCAGAGGTCCGCTACACGATCCTCGACCTGTGATGGATCGCCTAAATACAAGCACGCTTCCACCAAGAAGCGGAACTCTACCAAAGAAAAGAAAACATGAGTAGTCTAGGATGCGGAGCAAGCTCCATGTTGAGTCCATGCGATGCAACCTCGGATAGAAATGTCACAAAAAAAGCAATGTCACAACTAACAGCCTAAGTAAAAGCAGAAGCAACTAACTAGCATACATGTCCTAGGAAAGCAGAAAGTAACGACAACTAACCCTAGAATGTTGGAGGCGGTAGCCTCGGTCTCGAAACAACTGACTAGTGTATAAGTCCTAAGAACAGCAAAAGCAGAACAACTAAATCCTAGAAATGTCAGAGGTAGTAGCCTCAGTCTGAGAGCAACAAAGCAACAACAAAACAACCATATGTCACAGGAGAAGTGTGTCACAAACCAAAGGGTGGGATGGTCTCTGAGGGTGGCGAATGCAGCCTAGGGGTCGATAACTCCTAAGGGCATCCACCCATAATGACAGGGGAAACACATGCCATCAGGCTCAATGAGGGTAGGGAACTGGGAGCGAACATAACCAATGACCCTAACAGATAGACCATCAAGGCGGGTAATGCTTGACTAAAGGGGTGACCGCTATGGAGGGTCGACCATGCAAGGGAACAAGGGAGCCTGGTATATTGGGCGCACCTAGATGAAGCATGTGAGGCTGCCTAACTAGGGCGCGAGGGTCGGCAGAGGGTAGGAAAGTGATGGGTAAGGGAATCATGCAAATGACTCCTAAGGTGAGGGAAGTCGGAGCTAGATCCGCAAGTTGGGAAGCCAGGGCAATGCTATGGTCCCGATGCCTATGTGTATACCAAGGGAGAGCCCAACTCAGAGGAACCCGGTGAAGGGAGACCATCATGCGACACAACCTGTGCAAGGTAAAGTGGTAAGAGAGTGATGACGTCTGAAGTAGGCAAAGCTAATTGTGACGAAGTCCATGAAGCTGTTGATGACGTCCATGATGAGAAGTCCGGAATGCCATCGAGGAAGAGCCGCAACGTCGACGAGCTGAAGTTGCGAAACTGGTGCGGATGGAGTACTAAGAAGTCAAAGATGTAGGAAGAGAAGTCAGAGTCAGTCGTCATATCGAGCAGGACGACGACGAGTGCGTTGTGGACGCTCGGAAGCATCCGGCTGCTGTTGAAGGTTTGCCTCAGATGGGGCAGGCTCGACTTCAGCGGTCTCCTCAGCCAACGGGGAAGGAGGAGGGTCAGTGGGCTGAGGGGGAGCAGTCGACCCAGCAYGAYGAGCACGGTCATAGGCACGCACCAACATGCGAGCGTGCTGCAAGTGCTCAAGGGGCTCCCAGGTAGCCTCCTCATTAGGGTAACCCTTCCAACGTACGAGATACTCGACATGGGGAGGGTTGTCATCGGTGACTCAGCGACCAATGATGTCTGAAACGAGGAACTCCTCATGGTCGTCCACCATGATGGGTGGAGGGAGCTCGTATGGTCGTCCAACGAAACGCTCAGACGGTCTGCGGTAAGGACGCAGTAACGAGACGTGGTAGACATCGTGCACACGAACCTGGCGTAGGTAGTCGGGCATCTTCACATGGAAGCTGACCGGGGTAGATGTCGTATCAGAACCGACGGCCTGGACGATGCGGCATGGGCCAAAGAAGCGACGCCGAAACTTGTGAAGCGTGTCCGCTTCGAGTTGTAAGTGGCGGGCGTCGATAAGCACATCATCACCGACTTTGAATGAATGATCTATCCTCGATCGGTTCGCACGTGCGGCCATGCGAGTCTGGGAAGCGACTATGTGCTCATGTGCGGTCTTCATGATCGACGTCATGTGTGCAACCCACTCATCCAGCGCGGGACAACTCGTGTCCGGGTGCATCTGTGACGGTCGAAGGAAGTCCGTGGGAACACGGGGGTGATAGCCGAGGTTGCAATAGTAAGGCGACATCCCCGTGGCTGGCGAGACGGCATGGTTGTAGGCTATCTCCGCGTGGGCAAGATGGAGATCCCACTGTTGGTCGTCACGAACAATCTTTCAGAGAATATCTCTGAGAGTCCTATTCGTGACCTCGGTCTGACCATCAGTCTGGGGATGGTAAGACGAGGAGAAGCAGAGCTGGGTGCCGTATACCTCGTCGAGCCGTCGCCAAAATTGGCTGGTGAAGCGCGGGTCACGGTCAGATATGATGCTCAGAGGTAAGTCGTGGTCACGCAGGACTCGGTCAAACACGATGTCGGCGACCTCACATGCACTGATGGCATAGCGGCACGGAACAAAGCGTGCACGCTTCGTGAAGCGGTCGACGACGACCAGGATAGCATCATGACCGCGGGGGGTCGGAGGACGAAGAAGACCGATAAAGTCCTTAGAGATGGACTGCCAACGACCCTCAGGGATAGGAAGAGGTTGGAGCAAACCATAAGGCAGGTGGTTCGCACTGTTCACCTCCTGACAAGTGGGACACTCTGCGACGTAGTCCTTCACAAAGTCCTTGCGCTTCGGCCAGACGTACAGGCGGCTCACACGAGCCAACGTCTTGTGGAAGCCCAAATGACTGGCGGCTGCCTGGTCATGGAACTTTGTTACTGCCCGGACACGTAGCTTCCAGTGGAGGGAACGCAAATACGGGGCTCTCTGGTGCCCTGTGAACCGTGTCAGTACACAAGACCGTTGTCCCCGAGAGAGTAGTTCGGGACGGTCTTTCCACTCCGAAGGGTCGCGTGGATGTCGCGATAGTCGGGGCAGTGGCGGTACTGAGTGCGAAACTCATTGATCACCGAGTGGTGGACGGTGCTGACCGAAATAGCAGCGAGTTGGATCTGCTCCAGATCATGGTCAGGGCGCCGGGATAAGGCATCTGCGACCCGATTAGTCTCACCCTTGATGTGCTTAGTGGTGAAACTAAACTCGGATAGTTCGCGCCACCAGCGAGCCTGTCGAGGAGTGAGCTTCGGCTTTGTTAGAAAAGCCTGGACAACAGAGTTGTCCGTGCGCACTGTGAATGGTGCCCCGTGCAGGTAGTGACGCCAGTGTCGAGCGACATAAACTACTGCAAGAACCTCACGTTCATCAGCAGTGTAGTTTATCTCGGCGGGCAAGAGCTGACGGGAGTAGAAGGCTATCGGACAATCACCTAAGCGAGACTCGACAGTGCCGTCCTCGGCGATGGTAGGAGAATAGTCAATAGAAGGCTCGTCAGTAGTGGGATGAGTAGGCGTCAGGCAGGAGGCAGTGGTAGGGGTAGGGGGTGGGAAGCGAGGGATACAAGGATGAGAGGAATCAGGAGAGGAGGGGAAAATCTGAGAAAGCACTGCTCCTACAACAAAGTTTGACGCATCAGTGGTAAGGATAAAAGGGCGATCAAAATCGGGTAGGTGAAGAACCGGTGCATATGTCATCGCCTTCTTGAGGGCGTGGAAGGCGTCCTCCTGGAGGGGTGTCCAAGCCCATGGCGGGTTCTTCCGGAGGAGGGTGGAGGTAAGGACGTAGGAATACCTTGTGTATCCCTGGATGAAATTACTGTAGTAGCTGGTAAGGCCTAGAAAGCTGCGAAGCTGCTTGGCGGATGTGGGAACGGGCCACTCCGCAATAGCAGTGATCTTCGCGTCGTCCATGTGGAGACCGTGGTCAGACACGTAGTGTCCTAAGAAATCCACTTTGTGCTGGGCAAAGCGGCACTTACTCAGCTTGGCGTAGAAGCCATGTCTGCACAAGCGGTCAAGGACGTCGCAGAGGTGTCTGAGGTGCTCCTCAAGGATGTCGCGTAGACCAGGATATCGTCGAGGTAGACGAGAACGTACTGCTCCAGGATGTCCCTGAAGATGTCGTTCATCGCCCTCTGGAAGGTAGCGGGTGCGTTGGTGAGGTCGAATGGCATCACCGTAAACTCATAGTGGCCGAAGCGCGATCGAAACGCTCTCTTCAGCTGGTCCGCAGCGACGCGGATCTGATGGTAACCGCTACGAAGATCAATCTTCGTAAAGAAGCGGTTGCCTGCTAGGCGGTCGAGCAGCTCGTCGGAACAAGGCATGGGGTAGTTGTTCTTAACCGTGTAGCGGTTGAGACCGTGACAGTCGATGCAGAGACGGAGAGTTCCTTCCGCTTTGTGAGTAAAGAGGACGGGTGCACCCCACGGGGAGTTGTTGGGTTTAATGAAACCCAGTCTCAGGAGCTCCTCAAGCTGACGCTTGAGTTCGGTGGCCTCGGGGATCGAGAGTTTGTAGGGTGCCTGGTGGTGAACACGATAGTCAGGCACAAGCTGGATGGAGTGCTCGACGTCGCGCATCGGTGGGATGTCGGCGAGAACAACGAGGGGAAAATGCCGTGGTACTCTCGAATGAGGTCACGAACTGCGGGCTCCAGGTCGGCCGTATATCGTGCGAGTTCCTCAGCGTCAGCGTCAGCGTGCGACGACGGGGTGGATTCGACGGACGGCGGAGGGTGGGAAGTAGAGATGGGAGCCATGCAGATAGAAGGAGAATTTGGCTCCAGAGGAATGAGCTCGACTTCAAGACAAAGATCATAGTGTAAGAGATCCGTCACAATCACCGTAAAGAAGGTGACATCGTCCTGTCGAATGAAGTGGGCGAGCTGCCGAGGCGAGGTGACAGTGATAGAAGGAGATGGTGTGGGCACGGAAGGCTCCGGGGGAGGAGGATCGGTGCGTGGTGTCGCAGTGGTACCTATGAAAGGTACGCGATACGTCTGTCCACACTTCGTTTTGAGAACGAGAGTATTGGTCGCCCAATCGGCCTCGGTGTTGCGGTACTGACGAGACCACGGAGTACCGAGAATGAAATCGTACGACGTCTCCATCACATCGAAATGTGCAAAGGAGGGGTGGCGACGGGTCGCTGGGGGACGATCGGTCGGCTTGAGGGTGAGGAAGAAGCGCAGGTCGGTGACCGTTTGATCGAAGAAGCGCTGGGTCTTGTCATCCCCTAGGGTGACGAAGATGGGAGTTGGAGACCCTGTCGTGGGTAAGCGGGCTTCTTTCACCACACGTGGGTGAATGAAGTCGCCCTGAGAACCGGAATCCCACAGCGCTGAGTGCACCCTCGTGGAGGTCCGCAGTCGTACTGGAATGATCGGGAGGGTGCGATTAGGGTCAGAGAGGATGGTGAGAAGTCGACGCAGTGCAACGACATGGAGGGTGAGCTGCTCCTAACGAGCCTGGAGCATGCTCAAGTCCAGAAGAGAGGACACGACGTCCTCGCGAGTAGCGAGCTGCTTGCGGCAACGGGCAAAGCGAATGGCTCGACGAGTCGGTAGTCGTGGAGGGGTAGAAGGGGGAACGGTGGTCTGCGGAGGCGCAGACGGTACTGCGACAGAGGGCTGAGTACACTCTGTCGGGTCCTGCGATACCTCAACTCCAGTAGCGAGAGGGGCAAACTGCGACGGGGATGTCGGGAAGCCGACTACTGAGGAGGGCGCAGGTGTACACTGCAACGTGGCTAGGAGGTGCCGCGGGGATGCGGGGCGCCGGGGGGGGACTGAGCACGACGCTGGTGGGAAAGGTGAGCGGAGTGGCAGTCGAGGGCGGCAGTGTAAGGGCACCGCGAGGAGGTACGACCGTCCTGGCGGCATCGCAAACACCCACACCGGCCCAAAATAGCCGCGCGCTCCTGAGGGACACCGCGAGGAGGGACAAAGCCCTGAGGGAGGTCCTGCTGAGGGACCTCGGGGGGTGACGCGCCAGCGTGACCGGGGCGGCTGCGTGCCCGGGAGAGGGTGGAGAGGATGAGCTGGAGGCGCTCGGCCATAGGGAGAGTAGAGTCCTCCAGGTGGTAGTGGACGACCTGCTCCCCATACTCGAGCGCGCTGAAGCGGCGGGAGAAGTGGCGGCCCTGCTGCGCGGAACGGTGGGGGCAGCCGCGGAAAGGGGAACGACGCTGGGAAGTGTCGTGAGAGGAGGAGGAGGAGGCATATCCAGTACGTTGGGGCTGGGAGGAGGAAGTGTGTTGAAGACGGGTCGGCATCCGCCGATGGTCCCTGGCGGCCTCGTAAGCGTGCGGGGCCGATGTGAACTCGTGCCTCCATAGCTTGGAGCTGTACTCAAGGGGAAGGCTGGCCAAGAAACGATCGATAAGGGCAGCCTCGGGAAGGAACGCCACATCACAAATGAGGTGGGCATCTTGAAAGACCTGGATGTGGCAATCCAGGCTGGCGGCAGCACCAGAGTCGGACCTGTGTATAGTGACGACACGCTCGAAGGCATCAGTCACGTCATGTCGGGCTCCGAAGCGATCCTCGAGGGACGCCTGGAAATCCATGAAGGTCGGAGTCCGACCCGCACGAAGGGAGTAAGCGTAGAAATCCTCCCAGGCGTCGAAAGGACCGCCACGCAGGCGCGTGGAGAGGTGACCCGCCCACGTGTCGGGTGGGGCGCCCATGAGCTGGAGCGTGTGGGTGGCGGACTGCAACCACCGAGACACGCGTATCCCTGTACCGTCGTACAAGGGAATGTCCACCAAGTGGACGAGTGGTGCGTCACTGTTTTGGCGGCGAGGGGATCGAGGAGCAGAGGTCTGTGCTACGGCTGAGTAAGTCGGCGCAGGTCCTGGAGAAGGGAGTGCAGTCGACTGTCCGCCCTGGCCGCATGGTGGAGCGGTGGGGGGAACAGCGGCAGGCTGCGAGGGAGTAGCGGTAGAAGAGGTCGCAGCCGCCAAGGGAGTAGGAAGGAGGTAGGATGGGGGTGGAGGGGCTGCGGGCCGGGGGAAGCGTCCCGACAAGCAGAGAATATTCAAAGCTGCTACAATCTCGAAAGTATCAACAGGAAATGGAAATTCACAGTCGCCTACAACAACATCACCTTGAACGACTTCAAAATCAAGCATATCCAAAGGAATTTCCCGAACTACAACCCTTACGACAACAACTCTAGACCTTTGCAACACAACGCTGGGAGGGAACACGAATCAAGGGACGACTGACACGCTACGAAGTGGAAGGATCCATGGACAAAAAAAAATTCAGCTTGGCCCGTGCACGGGCACGTAGAACCACGATAGAGGCATTTTATGTTCCACGGACAGATCAACAAGAAGTGGCGACCTCCACGCTGCAGTGCATACAGATCGCACGATCCTTTTTTAAGGACCTATTCACTTCAAGATGTGTCGGACGGGAGGAGGCCACCAGAGAAAAGGAGATAGCTGACTTTCTAGAACCAATGATGAAAACCCTGTCGGACCGGCAAAGAGAACAATTGGACATCCCTCTATCCCAGGAGGAAATTTGGACGACCCTGAAACGGATGGAGGAGGAGAAAACGCCGGGAGTGGATGGTTTTCCAAAAGAATTATGGGAAACGTTTTGGGCACAAATGGCCCCGGACCTCATGGGGTTCTACCGGCAGGTATGGGAAACGGGGCACATGGGGGAGTTGGTAGGGTAGGGGGTCCTCACCTTACTACACAAAAAAGGCGATCGGATGGATATAAAAAACTATCGTCCGATAACCCTACTCATTGTCGTCTACAAAATGATAGCAAAGGCCTTGGCAAACCGCCTGATCCCAGTTTTGGAAGACATAATTCACCCGGCACAAACAGGTTTCATCAAGGGACGAAGAATCCACGACAATATTTTGTTGGTCAACGAAATTCTTAAGATAACAAGACAGGTCAAACTAAACGCCGCCGTGGCTTTCATTGATTTCGAGAAAGCATATGACCATGTGGACTGGACATTCTTAGACATATGCATGCAGAAAATGAACATTGGGCCAACCTTCCAATGTTGGACCGAGATTCTCCACCGTAACGCGACAACGAGCGTCCAGGTTAATGGACTGATGGCACGAGTGATATCGCTGCAATGGTCGGTTCGCCAAGGAGACCCCTTGGCACCCTTCCTGTTCATCATTGTGATGGAGGCGCTGGCAGCAAACCTCTGCACAAACAAAGACCTCAGGAAATTACAGATCTCTGCCATCCCTGAGGAGGCGATTCCTGTTTGCTCAATGTTCGCGGATGATATGACAATTATGACGGACGCCACCCCTGAGAACATGGAGGAAATTAAGCAGTTGCTGGATCGATTCACGACAGTTTCGGATATGACTGTCAACTGGGGAAACATAACACTGGGATGGTGGATCGACCACGAGGGAGTGCGTCCGCCGGAACAGCCGCGGGTAAAATGGCTACTGGAAAATGCCCCGATCAGAGTGTTGGGCATAATACTGATGACATCTGGGAAGCTGACATCAAACGACGAGGGGATTCTCAAACCAGCATTGGAAAAAATGACACGTTGGAATGATAAGGACACATCCCTCATCGGCAGAGCACTGGCAATCAATAACGTGGTGTTGGTGGCCCTCTGGTATACGAATGGGCAAACCGCCGGCCTACTATGGAGAGGCAATAGCGAGCTCCCAACTGTTATAAGCAGGGTAGCCTGGTCATCAGTGATCCAACCCAAAGAAAAAGGAGGCCTTGGCATTCTCGACCCGGACACTCAGGTGGCTGCGTTGATGGTGCAATGGATCAAACGACTGGTTTTCTCACCAGATTTACCCTGGTACACACTCGCATTAGAACAAATTGCTAGATTGGCACCGCAAGCGCCATGAGGAGTGGACCCCCGGACCTGGCTAGAAGACCGATACTGGCCCATTCTACGGCACCCCCGGGTTGACAGGGTCTCTACCAGGGGAGCAGCAAGAAGCGATCTGGCCAGGGATGACTTTTGGCCCCGGGTACTAAAAGCTTAGCGCCAGCTGCCACTGCCAGACAAAACTGTGCCAAATAGATGGGAGGAGGTGATGAGGCAACCCCTCTTTGGCAACAGGAGTATCACTGATAAAAATGGCAGGGTGCACCGTAGTTTGGACCCTCCATGGAATAGCTGGGTCAAACACGGCATAGTGAGGATCAAAGATGTATGGGACCCGGCGAGCAGAGATTGGAAAAACGCGCCACAGTTGAGGGTTCAGATGAGGTACTGTCATGAAATTGAAAGGAACCTGGAAAAACTGATCTTTGACATACCCCTAGACTGGGTGCGCATCCTTCGTAGAGGTCCACAGCTGGCGGTAGGAGACTGGGTCGCAGCCCCGGACGACACAGAATGTCTTGGCAATGTGGTGGAAGTGCGGGCAGATGAATCCTTGATTAACCTCTTCCATAAGGGAAAGGACAATGTCCTTACCGAGCAAACACCGAGAGTAGTGAGGTGGTGGAAGAACGAGGAGCTACACAGAATTCGTGTCTTAAAACACAAGGAAGAATGGATTGCATTTCGCCCTGAAATGGCCCTTGCTGAACTCCCGTTCGACCCGGAGGAGTGGCGCTCGGCACCAGCACGAAGAACGCTAACCAACTCAAACATATGCCTCTATAGTTTGTCGGTGAAATCCACTTACCGGCTACTGCGACCAAAGGTGAATCTCAAGGAGATCGTAAAAGCCCGTTGGATAGCCCACCTAAATATAAGTCGAAGGGTTGTCCGCCCTATCCGGGGTTCTCAATCATGAGATCTAAACCAGCCAAGTTTGTCGCACTGCAGTGGCAGATTGAACATCGCTGTCTCCCGACAAACAATTGGCTAATAGACCGCACGTGCCTGGAGCAGAAGGGCCTGGCGCTCCCTTGGTGCAAGTGCTGTCAAACCGCCTTCCCCTCCCGTAAGATCCCGGAGACTATAGAACACGTCTTTTCACAGTGTCCAAGGGCGATTCTCATTTGGCGCTGGTGGGACAGAATATGGAGCCAACTGGACACCGGATCGACCTGGCCATGGGACTGGAGGGCGCTGCTCTACGAAGCATGGAACTCCCCCACGGACAGTGATTTTGAGAATAACATGTTCCGGCTGGGAAGGAGAGCGGTTATTTGGGCACTTTGGAGGAAATGCTGCACACTCGCCATTGAGGGCGTCCGAATGGAAGGAGAAGAAGTAACAGAATTAACAAAATAGTATGTGCAGCAAGAACTCCTCTCGAGATGGCAGAAGGTTAAAAACCAGTTACAGACATATCACTCGAAGAAAGATATTCAACTGGTAATCAATCAATTTTCCAAGGGCTGGCTGGGTAGCGAAACCGGGGTTTGGATTGCCCATATTCAGTGGGAAAGCGGACATCCCCCCGAACAGGAGCAGGGCAACCTCATGAGAGACTACAGTATCTGCTTTCAAGGAATGGACTAAAGTGGACCCAGGTGTGCCGTTGCGCCCGCCAACAGATTTCCCGGACCCGTTCCCCCCCCATCAACTGTCACTAGTGGATATGCAATGGTATGGGGTAGAATAGGTACAGCTGTTTCGAAAGGCTCTTATTGAGGGCTTAGGATTGTTGTGGGAAAGGGGGATGTTGAAGAAGGCAGGGCTAATAAATAAGGGGCGCCTCAAGATGGGATGGGTGACATAGGCAGCTCCATGGGATAGCAGAGCCCCATACGTGGCAAAGGGGGAGGTGGGGCAATGCAGTTTTATTCAAGGAGGAAGCGAGGAACTAGTTCTGGAGCAGTAGATATCTGGCGCCTGGTACTGGGGCGAAGAGGTTTTCTCCCCCCCTCCAGCAACCTGCACAATATATGTTTAGTCTGTTTTCCACTCTGTAAAGGGACGCTGGACCTGTTTTCCAGCAGGTGATGCTCCCCACCAATAGATGGAGCCCCTCCCCGGGTGCTAGTGGTGTCTGCTCTGACCAGCACCACTAGCATTGCAGGGGGTGTGTTTTAATAAAAAAATAAAAATAAAAAAAAATGGAAGAGTAGAGGAAGAAGGGAGTGCGCCCGAAGGCGCGGCCACCTGTGACGGTGGGGGTGGTTGAAGGCGTAAGAGGGCGAGGTTAGCCCGGGTCTGGGCAAGCTCGTCCTCGAGACGTCGAATGTAGATTGAGCCACGAGTAGCAGGAGGAAGAGTGAGGGAAGTGGACACACGAGCGGCGCGGGGCATCCCAGAGGGGGAGAGCCAGGTGGCGCTGAGGTCGTGCGAAGGGGAGGGAGAAGCGGGGCACCCGGAAAAGCTGAGACCATGGTAGCGGGTTGTGGTCCCGTGGCCGTAGTGACTAGAATCTGGGCGGGTGCACCCGTAGGGTGAGGGAGGGCTTGGCTCGTGGTGGGCGTCGCGCTAGGAGCGTGGACGGTCACCAGGATGGCCGGGTCGGGGGCGGCAGAGGAGGAAGCTCCGCCGTGGCCACCATGTCGGAGGACGGCGGACCCGGACTGGGAGCCAGGAGAAGAGAGAGAGTGGGGAGAGGAAGGACGATTAAGTGTCCTGGAGTTGCCGCAGGCCAGCGGCAAGAGTCGCCATTTGCGCCTGTAAGGGCGCAAGGAGGGAGGTGATGAGGGTGTGCAGATCCCGCTGGGGCTGGTGGCCCTGGTCCGTCGGCACGGGTGTGGAGCCCGATGCCGAGGTCGTCGTCGCCTCAGGGGCTTGTGACACGTCGTCGGCCATGGGTAGGTAACAGGCCGGACTAGAGAGGGCCGGAGGAGATCCGCGTGAGCGGAGGGCGTAGGGGGAGGTCTGCGATAGAAGGCGACGGGCGACGCTAGTAAATCGAGCGCGGGCGCCGTCAAAGGGGGAGGGGTGGTTCGGATCCAAGGTGGCCGAATGAGAAGGGAAGGTAGGGGGGTTAGGAGAACCCTAAACAGTTGAAAAACCCTGAGAAAACCCTAACCGGAGTTTGAGTGGTTAGGGTAGGGTAGCGATGACCTAATCAAGAAAATAAAATAGCAAGCATAGGCAGGGAAGGCAGGAGGAAAAAATAAATAAACAGCAAAATTTCGAGAGAAAATGAAAATAAATAAGGAAATAAATAAATAATAAAAATAATTAAAGAAATAGGGAAACAAAATGTGAAGAGAGAAGTAATATTTATTTTTTTAGAATTTTCGGCAGCATTTCCCTACCCCCCATGGGGTCAAGAATGTGCCAAGGGAAAGGAGAGGCCAAGATAAGCACACTAGGTTTCGAAATGCCGCAAATTAAAAAAAATCAGAAAATAAATAAAGAAATAATAAAGAAATAAATAAATAAGTAAATAAATAAATAAGTAGATGGGGAGGCGGAGAGAAATGAAGTATCTGATTTTTCAAAAATTTCGGCAGCATTTTGTTACCCCCATGGGGTCAAAATATGTGTCGAAAAGGCTAAGTGAAAGAAAAAACAGAAAATTTTGGCAGCACTTTATTACCCCAACGAGGTCAAAATGTGTGCCGAAAGCAAGAATGACCAACTCCTAATCAGATTTAAGGGTGCAGCCAAGAAATTCGAATTTTCAGAATAAATAAAAAGAAAATAAAATAAATCAGAAAATGAGAGAGGAAGGGGGGGGGAATAAGATAATTCAAACTTTGGGAGAAAAGGGAAGATTTAAATCAAAGAGAAAGAGAAAAGAAGAAAACAGAAAAATTCAAAGTAGGGGGAGGGCAAGGGGATGAAAAGCAATGAAGAAGAGAGAAATAGGCCGTTGCTGCCCTGCTGGTCGCTGCTCGCCGGCGAGGGGGGAGAGGGGTAAATAGCTGGCACACACCTCGTCAACAGCAGCATGCCACACTACAAAGCCATGCATACAGTATAGCGAGTGTGTTACGGGATCAGCCACGCACGCTCAAGGCCAGCAGCTGCCTGGGTTCAAACCCCGGCGGTAGCAAGATCTCGGATCTTGATAATATAAATCCGGGAGCGGGGCGAGGGGGCCCAGCGGGGCAGCGTGGGCGTGTGGCGCGTACGTGTGTGTGTGCGGCGGCCTTGGCGCTTGCGCGCACGCATCGTGACGACAACTCCTTTTTCCGTCACGTGGCGCTTCCTGCTGCACCTTTTTTCCCTCGTTTTTGCTGAAAAACGCCTGAAAAACAGTGAAAAAACCCACTGTCGGGTTTTGCTGTTTTCCCTGCTGTGCGGTGGGTGGGGGGGAGAGGGGAACGTTCCCGCTTCGATACCAGTGTGGCGGACCCACCAGGTGTGGTGCTCCGCCTGGGACAGAGATGGAGATGGAGGAAGAAGGGGGAGCGAGATGGCACAGCGCAGCTCCCACGCCAGACTCCAACGCACGTACTCCAAACTGTGCGAATGCAGAAAGAATCGGAAAACAGACAACAGCTGGGATATACCCCAGCGGACTGATGGGACTGGACTAGACTGGCTGGTACCGATAGAGGTACCGGCGTGGACTAGACTGCCCCGAATACAACACAGGCCTATGAGATGGGAGCCATGGACAAGGTGGATCATAGTGTAAGAGATCCGTCACGTTCACCATAAAGAAGGTGACGTCGTCCTGTCAGATGAAGTGGTCGAACTGCCGAGGCGAGGTGACAGTGATAGAAGGAGAAGGTGTGGTGGGCACGGAAGGCTCCGGGGCAGGAGGATCGGGGCGTGGTGTCGCAGTGATACCTATGAAAGGTACGCGATACGTCTGTCCACACTTCGTTTTGAGAGCGAGAGTGTTGGTCGCCCAATCGGCCTCGGTGCTGCGGAACCGACGAGACCACGGAGTACCGAGAATGAAATCGTACCCCGTCTCAATCACATCGAAATGTGCAGAGGAGCGGTGGCGACGAGACGCCGGGGGACGATCGGTCAGCTCGAGGGTGAGGAAGACGGGGAGGTCGGTGACCGTTTGATCGAAGAAGCGCTGGGTCTTGTCATCCCCTAGGGTGACGAAGATGGGAGTCGGAGACCCTGTCGTAGGTAAGCGGGCTTCTTTCACCACACGTGGGTGAATGAAGTCGCCCTGAGAACCGGAATCGCACAGCGCTGAGTACACCCTCGTGGAGGTCCGCAGTCGTACTGGAATGATCGGGAGGGTTCGATCAAGGTCAGAGAGGATGGTGAGAAGGCGACACAGTGCAGCGACATGGAGGGTGAGTCGCTCCTGACGAGCCTGGAGCATGCTCAAATCCAGAAGAGAGGACACGATGTCCTCTCAAGTAGCGAGCTGCTCGCTGCAACGGGCTGAGCGAATGGCCTGACGCGTCGGTAGTCGCGGAGGGATAGAACGGGGAACGATGGTCTGCGGAGGCGCAGACGGTACTGCGATAGAGGGCTGAGTACACTCGGTCGGGTCCTCCGATACCTCAACTCCAGTATCAAGAGGGGCAAACCGCGACGGGGATGTCGGGAAGCCGACTACTAGGGAGGGCGGAGGTGTACACTGCACTGTGGCTAGGAGGTGCCACGGGGATGCGAGGCGCCAGGGGGGACCTGAGCACGACGCTGGCGGGAAAGGTCATCATAGTGGCGGTCGAGGGCGGCAGTGTAAGGGCACTGCGAGGAGGTATGACCGTCCTGGCGGCATCGCAAACACCCACGCCGGCCCAAAATAGCCGCGCGCTCCTGAGGGACAGTTCGAGGAGGAACAAAGCCTTGAGGGAGGTCGTGCTGATGGACCTCGTGGGGCGAAGCGCCAGCATGACCGAGGCGGCTGCGTGCCCGGGAGAGGGCGGAGAGGATTAGCTGGAGGCGCTCGGCCATAGGGAGAGTAGAGTCCTCCAGGTGGTAGTGGACGGCCTCGCCGAGATCGAGGTCGTCGCTATGGTCACCCTCAGTTGATAGAGGGGCGACAGCGTCCTGCTCCCCATACTCGAGTGCACTGAAGCGGTGGCAGAAGTGGCGGCCCTGCTGCGCGGAACGGCGGGGGCGGCCGCGGAAAGGGGAACGACGCTGGGAAGTGCCGTGAGAGGAGGAGGCGACGTAGCCAGCACGCTGAGGCTGGGAGGAGGAAGTGTGTTGAAGATGGGCCCGCATCCGCTGATGGTCCCTGGCGGCCTCGTAAGCTTGCGGGGCCGATGTGAACTCGAACCGCCACTCAAGGGGAAGGCTGGCCAAGAAACAATCGATAAGGGCAGCCTCGGGAAGGAACGCCACATCACAAATGAGGCGGACATCCTGAAAGACCTGGATGTGGCGATCCAGGCCGGTGGCGCCACCAGAGCCGGACCAGTGTGTAGTGACGACACGCTCGAAGGCGTCAGTCACGTCATGTCGGGCTCCGAAGCGATCCTCGAGGAACGCTTGGATTTCCATGAAGGTCGGAGTCCGACCCGCACAAAGGGAGTAAGCGTAGAAATCCTCCCAAGCGTCGAAATGACCGCCACGCAGGCGCGTGAAGAGATGACCCACCCACGAGTCGGGTGGGGCGCCCATGAGCTGGAGCGTGCGGGTGGCGGACTGCAACCACCGAGACACGCGTATCCCTATACCGTCGTACAAGGGAATGTTCGCTAAGCGGACGAGTGGTGCGCCACCGTTTTGGCGGCGAGGGGATCGAGGAGCAGAGGCCTGTGCTTCGGCTGAGTAAGTCGGCGCAGGTCCTGGAGAAGGGAGTGCATCTGACTGTCCGCCCGGGCCTGATGGTGGAGCGGCGGGGGGAACAGCGGCAGGCTGCGAGGGAGCAGGGATAGAAGAGGTCGCAGCCGCCAAGGGAGTAGGAAGGAGGTTGGATGGGGGTGGAGGGGGTGCAGGGCGGGGGAAGCGTGCCGGCAAGAATGGAAGAGTAGAGGAAGAAGGGGGTGCGCTCGAAGGCGCGGCCACCTGTGAGGGTGGGGGTGGCTTAAGGCGTAAGAGGGCGAGGTCAGCCCGGGTCTGGGCAAGCTCGTCCTCGAGACGTCGAATGTAGATTGAGCCAGGAGTAGCAGGAGGAAGAGTGGGGGAAGTGGACGCACGAGCGGCGCGGGGCATCCAAGAGGGGGGAGAGCCAGGTGGCGCTGAGGTCGTGCGAAGGGAAGGGAGAAGCGGGGCACCCGAAAAAGTTGAGACCATGGTAGCGGGGTGTGGTCCCGTGGCCGTAGTGACCGGAATCTGGGCGGGTGCCCCCGTAGGGTGAGGGAGGGCCTGACCCGTGGTGGCCGTCTCGCTAGGAGCGTGGACGGTCACCAGGATGGCCGGCTCGGGGGCGACAGAGGAGGAAGCTCCGCCGTGACCACCATGTCGGAGGACGGGGGACCCGGACTGGGAGCTAGGAGAAGAGAGAGAGTGGGGGGAGGAAGGACGACTAGTGTCCTGGAGTTGCCGCAGGCCAGCGGCAAAAGTCGCCATTTGCGCCTGTAAGGGCGCAAGGAGGGAGGTGATGAGGGTGTGCAGATCCCGCTGGGGCTGGTGGCCCTGGTCTGTCGGCACGGGTGTGGAGCCCGATGTCGAGGTCGTCGCCGCCTCAGCGGCTTGTGAGACGTCGTCGGCCAAGGGGAGGTAACGGTGTAGGGCCAAAACCCGGTAAACTTTCGAGCCTTAGAGGACCCCACTGCGGGTCACAGTTGGCTCGGCCCGCCCACACTCATGCTCAGGGCGCGGGCCATTCGTCCCAAGGTCACCCCCACCTAGTGCTTTGAGATGGATGGGGGTGGGCCATCGCGCGAGAGAGCTTTGACATTGGGGATGTAGCTCAGCCCTCACGCCCGGTGGTAGTCTCGCTGGTCGTTCCGCAACGCTGATTTTCTTTTTGATTCTTTATTGTGTTCTCAACCAAATTCTCCTTCCAATATGCAGGCAGTCGAGGGGTTCTTTGAGTATTTCTCTTCTCTTGTGCGTAGGCTAAGCGTCATCCTTAGGCCACGCACCATTTCCCTAAGCAATTTGGCTATATGGCGTCATCGGGGTGCGGCGGGGCCGTCCCCCCCCTCGCCTCTACACATCCCTCGGATCTCACAATTTGCTTCCCACCTTATTGAAGTACGCCCCTTAGTCTTTTCGGGGTCCTAATATGCATGCACACACAACACCATATTTTCCTTGGTACGATTGCACTCTCAATCACACTTCCAAGTCCCAAGTGCAAAAGTCATTTTCATGAAGTGGCTCTATGTCAAGGGTCCCATAGCCCCTTTGTCCCTCTTCCCTTTCCCTCTTGGTGCCCAGTTCCTCTCGCCCTTATCCCGCTCAAGGCATTTCTAGCCATTACTCACCTGCACAATCCCACACAAGCAAGAAGATGCATACAATGTCCCCCATTGGGGGTCAACACATAGCCCTTCCCACATGGCTATTCTTTCCATGCTCTTTGGCTGTGCTTTGTTCCCTTTTTCTTGTTCAATTAGCCCATCCTCTTCTCACAGTCATGCAGTCGGGGAAATGGTTGAGTCAAACTGACCTCTCTCTCGACTTATGCTCTCACTTTCTCAAACGTCCTTCCCTTTGCCTTCTTGGTGGCACAAGGGACCGGCTACCCTCCTCTTGTCCTCTTTCTCCACCAAGTAAGGTCTGATTTCGTTCACCGTTCGTACCCTGGCAATATTTCCAAGTGAGGGGACAAGGTTAGTCATATGCCAAGTGAGGGGGAGGGAGAGAGGGGGCAAGGCGAAAGGAGAGACAAAGTGGGGGAGAGAGAGGAGAGAGAGAGAGTGTTACATGCTGAGCCTGACACACGGGCGCATTTTCGGGCCCGACGGTTGTTGAGGGCCCCTAGGCCGCGCGCCTGTTCCAAGCACGCGACCTGGAGGCCCACGGCCATTGGACAGGCCGTATGTACAGATTTGAGGCAGCAGTCATTTATTTATTTATTTCTTTACTTATGTGTGCTGCTGTTTGCCTGTTCTATTTTTGTCTGTTTCAGGTGACGTTTCGGACTTGCAGTTCGTCCGAACAGATCTACAATCTGTTCGGACCAAGGCCACGTTTTTGGCCTCCTCCATTCGTGGCCAGGCCCTTTTAGGCCAGGTTCGCTTTTGTCTGGTAGCAGACACTCCCTGCTGCATCAGCAGGGAAGGCCTGGACGYCCGATAGGGACCCAGGCAGGCCGTTTTTAGGCCAGACCCAGGGACARGACTTTTCCTTGCGACCTGGACCATGGATCGGACCTACGATCTCACGGCCCAGATCGCAGGTCGAGGGTACAGCACCACGGCCCARCACTACTTATAGCTGGGCCAGCTCCTGGGCAAAGACAGTTCGAGTAGCTCATTCTGAGCGACACGCTGCTGGTTGGAGGCTGCGCTATGCTGCGCTAAGTAGACGAGTAGGGAGTAGAGTTAGACGAGGTAGAGAGTGGCGGAGGCCATACCTGCAGTCGGCGAGCTTACCTGGCGCCATAGCAGGGCTCCACGCGGTACCTGCACACAGCAACGGACGAGGTCAGTTAAAGTGGCAGCTACCTGCAGGTGAGATAGCAAGGAGGACTTCATCCTCCTCTCTCTCTCTCTCTCTCTCTCTCTCTCT